CCGATTCCGCGATCTCACACCTCACTCGTCCCAATTGTTATCAGTGCGCGTTATATGGTTCAACCTTATTTAATTGGTTTTCTTGTAACCCAAAATAGGGAAATTAACGGAGAACGGACAGTAACATCGAGGCCAAGCTCTACCCTGAAGTTCTCCAGATACAAACAGGCTGGCGGAGGAGCTTTTATTCCTGTGACGCTCTTGGTGGAAGGATCACAGCATTACAAAGAATTTGTGCTAGAAAGAATCCGCTTTACTCTTCTAGAATACGAGAATGTCGAGGACATGCATGTTGAATGTTTGAAATAAACGAATATTTTTAATGGTATCTTACGTCCAGTCCTTATTAGCGAATTTTTTTTCAGCTTACTACCGCATTACAACATGGCCGCCACAAAAAAAAAATCAGCTTCTTCTTGTTTCCAGCACCTCTCGGCCAAATTTGCTTTGTTTTGGTTTTGATCTCACCCAATCACAAAGCTCGAAACCGATATCCAGAAATGGTTATGGCCCGAACTGTGTACCTTTGAATAACTCCGTATTAAAATATAGAACGTGCACTCCACTGGAAAGACTCAACACTTCCGGTTCAAATTCCCCATCACAGCCAGAGAAGTGTCACATTTCCAACCACTGGAAACTGACAACAGTCAAATGCCTTCGGGTTGCCAGGGAACAGATTTTGAAGCTTTGACTATCTCGGCGTCTGATCTAATCTTCGATTTGTCGCCAGTTTGATCACAGCCATGGTGTACAGAGCAGCTACTTTGCGAGGATTGGCCATCGCACAGATAGTGTTTGGGGCTTTGATGTTCGTCTTTGGAATAGCATCTATTTTCGCCACTATAGACTGGACTTCGTACGTTGGTTTTGGCATCTGGGTTGGCGTTTGGGTAAGTTTCGTCTAACTGTTCAAATAATAGGGACCTTAAGAAAAGCACGACGGCGACGGCAACGAGGACGTGGCAGAAAAAAAAGATCTAAAGGGCAGAACAATAGCCAGCATGTGCGTTTTAAAACTATTCTCATTTCGTAGCTGTCCTCTGCAAAACCACAACGAGGAATCAAAAAAAAATTGCGTCGCCTGCGAACGGAAACCGCGGCGGCAAGTTATGCAAGTTATTTTTATTTCCCTTTGGAAATCAACGCTGCTTAATATACGTTATGCTGAAGTTGAGGTAAGGCGCTGTAAGAGACAATGAACTCATGCGACTATTTTCGAACAGAAATTCATTTTTTAATCGATGCGTGTCTTCCTTTGCGTGAATGGAATGAATGAGCTTTTAGTGGCAAAGGTTAAGGCAATAGACATTTTGTTGCACGCTTTTTCGACTGAAGTTATATAGTTGGCTCTTTTGCAGCAGATTCAATATGAGCTTACGGTTCACAGGCGCTTGGTCATTTAAGAAGGCAATCCTTCCACTAAAATCTGAAATCACACCCCTATAAATTATTACGCAAACAGTTCTTGGATAAAGAAAATAATGGCGAGAAGCATAGATTGTATTTACGACCGGGGACTTGTTTTCCAATTGTATGAGGCGGAGCAGAAATCTTACCAATCTATTTTCAATGAGAAGCAAACTGGTGTTCGTCGGGAATTGACCAAAGACAGGCGTTTGAACCAAATCAATTTAAGGATGGGCGTGCACACTCTGATTGCGTTGCATTGTGGTTTCGTTATTTTCCACTTTATGGCGGTGAAAGAGAAAGAATCGGCAGATTTTGACTGAACATTCCGTAAAAGTTAGACTATTCCTTTTTCCTTTCGCCATAGGTGAATGTAACTTGATTTATTTTGAAAGTATTTTCCGTACGCATATTGCGTTTAAGTATGTAATTTCAGACCAGTCTTCGAGAAGGTCAAATTTGATGTACGTGGTTGGTTGAAGTCTTTATTTATCCAAAGATTTGGATGGTCGCTTTGATCAAAAGCTCTGACCAAACGCTCCCTAACGGTCCTCGTGTTTTATGTATCCCAAGAGCTAGCGTTTGAGACCGGTTATGGCAGCGAAAAGGCCTATCCTTGTGAATAGTTACAGTGTATTGCGTTACATAGCGTAATGTTATTGTAAGGACATTTCCTATTTATACTCGATGGTATTGAAAATCTACTTTCTTTTAGCGCTCGCGCAAACTCCCACAACTTCAAAACATACATTTGAATTTACTTACAGATTCTTTCCTTCCAATTTACAGAGGAATTCTTCATACGCTAAACATTGATGGAAGTGAATGATATTTTCAGTAAGGTCATTAAATGGCTTTGGAGAAAAAATTGTCGTAACAGCCATTGAACTTGAGTTTGTTTGCCAAACCAGTACCATTGTTATTTTTTTTCAAAAGTGCACCGATGCTTTTTTTCTCTTACGCGCTCTCTAATTGACGGGTGTCAGATTGTGACAGATACCTGTAAAAAAAATGTTTTAAAGTTTTTTGAAAGCCTTATAAATCACCTTCATCGTTACGCAAATAAGAAAATATCTAGCTGAAGTCTCTCTCTTTCATTTATGTTATCTCTGTCTCTGTCTTAACTGCCTTTTACTCCCTCAGAAATTGTTCAGTTTAAGGAGGATCTAAGTAGATTGCCTTGTGATAAGCTAATGGGGATGTGCCACTGGATTGGGTCACATTTTTATGGGGCACTGCCTTGTGATAGGCTAATGGGGGCGCCACTGGGTGGAGGTCACCTTTTTATGGGGTACTGCCTTGCAATAGCCCAATAGAGATGTGCCACTCGATGAGGTCACATTTTTATGGCTGGATTGATTACAAATGGGTTGCATTTTCCATAGAGTTATTTGAATGGGGTCGATGCCACTTTTTTGGGATTTTGGGGGTAGGAAAATTGTGGGCAATCTTTGGCATCATCAAATAGCTCTCCAATGATGACCTCGTTAAAAGGTTATATAATGAAGATACATAAACAAAAAGTGACTGAGTTGGGATCGCGAAAATTATATTTTAGTGAACTCCATCTGCACTTCAGTTGGTGGAGCTTTCTGAGCTTGTTTGATTTGAATTGTATATTTATGGCAAGCAAAACGTGAAAAAATTATCACTTTGACTTGAAGAATACTTAATATGTTCTTATTCCACAATGAGAAATGAATTATTTAATTGATCTTTCTGCTTGTGTGAATTGTAGGTTTTTATCACCGGAATTTTGGGATACGTCGGAGCAAGAAATGATTTCTACCCAAACAGGTGTTTGGTGAGTTACTGGGCTTTTTCAGGAAACCCCTTCAATACAAACTACCTTATTATAGTGAAAGAGCCTCGATTACATGTATTTGATTGATGAGCCAAAAAATTAAAACTGAACGCTTGAAGTAAAACATGCATCAATATATTAGGTAAAAATGAAAGTACATCCTCAAAGATTCATTGCGCATATATTGTTAACCTCCACCTAAAGTTATCCAGCAACGATTTACATGGCCTGAAATGCTGGTGTTGTTCAAGTGGCTACAGTGTGTGCCCGCCACTAATTCCATCACTCTTAGAAACTGCAGGAGCTGAATGATGTCAGCCTTGTTTTGTGTTTTCAGCCATGTTAAGCACTTCCTCAAACATTTAAGAGTTTTGAAAAGTTTAATATGTGCTTATGTGCATATGCGCCCTGTTTGATGAAAAAATTAAAAAATGATATGGATCTTGAATATTATTTTAATATAAATATTCTTATCAAATGGGATCAGTGAGCGAGTCTGGATAATTATAAAAATGATAATAATAATAATAATAATAATAATAATGATTACAATAAAAAGATACCAGTAACCAGGGCCCAGATTATCTTGGGCTACCCTTAGTAAGGGGGAGAGGTAAGATGAACTCCTCCTCTCCTGCCCCATTTACAGCATTTTTCAATTTTTCTTGGACATTTTCAAAGACCAATATTCAATTGATAAATTGGTCAAAAATAGATAAATTAATAGATAAAGAAAGAGAAAAATGAAGACGGAAAGGAAGAGAGAAAAAAAAGAAACAACAGAAACAACTCAACTAACAAATCAGTAATACACATTACCTTTAGGTTAATAAAATTCACATAATAGTTATCCTGAACTGAATTTTTCTGAATGAAACTTTTCAGCCTTAATAACTCTTGTGCAAGCCTAATTGATTAAATATAAATTTAAGGTAACTTTTCAAGGAATAAGTTCTTTAATTGGAAATTGAATTAAACATCCGAGGAGCAACTGGCCAATTTTTAGGCTGAGATTTTATGCAGAGTAGGTGGTTTTTCCATTGCTCTGTGAGACCATTTTAATTGTACTTGACATATTTGCAGTTGGCTTTCAATGAAAGTAAAGATCAGTTTTTTAACCTGAGAGAGTGCACCGTCAAAATTCCAACAACCAAGCTCTTCTCTGACAAGCCACAATCTCCTCCTTCTCTCTTAAAAGACGTTAAAATTACACTAACAGTAATTCTTTCCTATATTTTATGGCCTATCATAGGTACTAAAATTTTTATTGCGACTGGTTATAAATGGGAAAAATATACACTGTTTAGCAAATTATGTCATTCTTTTTAAGCTAAGAGGAAATATTGATGGACAAAAACAATTTCCTATCTGAAAGCCCTGGAATCTTGAGTGAAAAATAACTACAAAAAGATTCGTATGAGACTTAATACGTTTAATTCATGTACGTTTACCAGGAGATGGTCCAGTTTGAATTCTAATTGAATTGTGTGGTGTGTCTTTATCAACAGATTGGATGTTTTATGGGTTTCTCTATCACGGGTTGTGTCTACTCAGGTACAATGTTCATCTGCTATAGCATTACTCTCGCATACTACGCTGAAAGGAAGACATACTGTGACAATTATAAGACTTATTCTCGACGCGACTACAAAGATTACCGTTATGATAACTACAAGTACTATGATTGCTATGGGAGCTATAGCCTCAGAGCTACAGCAGCAGAAAACTTGGCTGGTTTAGGCTCTTGTCTTCTTATTTTGTCCTTGGTTGAGTTGGTAGTGGCCATTGCGTCATCCATCTATTGTTGCAAGGCAGTGTGTTGTAACTCAGCAAGAGTTGGGAACACAGTAAGTAATTACCACCAACAATTCAGTTGTTAATGTTTAAAGCTATCTTGAAATCATTTGTTGCCAATATCTTTTTTTTAAATTTTTTATATATTTATAAATATTGCATCAAATATTTTTTAATACTTACGGTTAGTTTCACAAAAAAAAGGGGCACATAACTGGACATGTGGGGCTAAAACCGAAAACTATTCAGTGTTATAATCCATCAAATATTTTTGCAAAAGTATGTTGAAGGATGATATACACGCCAAAAATATACCCTTAATCCCACTTGTATAGTATTAATAATGATCATAATGAACAATTTATACTGAGTTATGGACATTTGAAATAGTTATTATTCATTGTGAACTAATGGAATTTTTAGGTTTGAATGTGATACAGTCAACTCCCCTCTAACAGACACACTCATTTTTCCTGTCCGCAGTAGCTCTGTTGTAAACTTACCTAGTAAATGGTTTTGTGCATTCTATTAAACTTATTTGGTGAAATGACAGTTAGCAATTTTGATGAATTATTAGACTTTAAATATTTAATCTATCAGGCCCTAGATGTTTGAAGGGTGGATAACACTATTCACTGGATAACTCCCTATCCGCTGGATAGCGCACTATGTTCTATTAACCTTTTAACCCCCAGATCAAATGTTTCATTCTCCTTACTGTCAACCATACAATTCTTCCAATGCTAGCTCAGAGAATTAATTATTGGATCAAGTAATTATCCCCAAATTGATATTTTTCTTTATTCTCATCGCTTATCTGGTTGATATTGTATTGATATCGTGAGGAGAAATTCTGTGTTGGTCACTAATGGGAATTAAAGGGTTAATTCTTATCAGCTGGATCGCGATTTATCCATTGGATGGTGTTATACGCTCTTTGAACAACTGGACCCTTGGCTGATGTTTAATTATTTTGACCACTAAGACAAGGACCAACCAGCAAGGGAATTGTTTGCTTGTGCCAATGAGTAAATAGCTATGTTCTGTAAACTGTAGTGCTTGTAGCCAATAATTATACAGAGCACTTTAGCTATATAGAGACCCTTTGTAAATAGCCCTAGTTTTAATTGTACTAATTTTATATTGTAAATAATTATTTAATTCAGCCTTTGGCTGCAGCTTAGTTATTCTTATGAAACTCTCTATCTCAACCAACCAGCGAATGACTTTTGTACAGCCTCAGCAGAGGGCACAGCCTGGTGTGGTTTTAATGCAGACTGAAGGTGGTGTGGTGCCACAGGGTTACCCAGCAACAAGCCAGCAACCTGTGTATGTCCTCCAGCAGGTAATTAGATATAAATAATTATGTACTGATACAAAGTAAATATATCAACGTTTGGACATGCAAAGTTCCAGGCAGTTTACTTTAAACTTGGAGTGATCAAATATTTTTTTTTTTTGGTTTAGTTTGTTTGTTAGAAAACAAATTAATTAGTATTCCATGCGGTGCAGTGTTCACAATGGAAATTCAATTTGGTCTAAAGTTATCCAAGAATACATTAACTGCAAGAGAGTATACTTTAATAGGTTTAAATAGGGGAAAAGAGGAATGAATGCTGTTATTTAGATGCATAAAAGTGAGTGATCCGCATCTAATTTCTCATTACAATATAACCCCTGAATCACACATTAAGGTAAAAGGAATAAGAGAAATGGTAACAAACTGAAGAAGCTCTCGATTGTTAAACAAATTCTCCTGATCAGGTGCCCTTGGAAACACTATATATTAAGGACAGTATGGAGTAAATGCATAGTCGTGTTATGGTGTAAAGACTATTAACAGCTACTGACACATACATTCTGTATGGTAATTTTTTGAGCTTGATGGGTGAATAAAGAAAAAATCTGAATTTGTTAGATATGAACCTACTAATGGCCCAGTTCACCTGAGTGAGCTCTCTGTAGCTCAGTGGCAGAGCACAAAATCCAAAGGCCTGGTGTCTAGTTCAATACAGATAACTCAGAGATTTTTGCCCCATGCATGTGAAAAAATTGGAGAAAATCTTGCCTAATATGCTGTCAAGAAGTCTGAAGTCAATAACGTTCTAGGTCTAAAAATATTTTGGCATTGTTCATTTGACAGCCTGCAGTGGTTGCACAGCCTGGAGTGGTTGCACAGCCTGGGATGGTTGTACAGCCTGGGATGGTTGCACAGCCTGGGGTGGTTGCACAGCCTGGAATGGTTACACAGCCAGGAGTGGTTGCACAAGCTGGGATGGTTGCACAGCCTGGGGTGGTTGCACAGCCTGGAGTGGTTACACTGCCTGGGGTAGTTTCACTGACTGGGGTGGCCGTTTAGCAACCCAATTACTGGGCTACATGAATCCATACATTCACTACATGAATCAGCAGCCATATCTGG